CTAGTTTCTAATACGTTTTGAAATAAAAATATGTAACCATTTTAACATCTCCCCGACTAACGTAAATATCGATATTTGTTATGTGATTAAGACTCATAAATTTATTTCATCATCATCATCATTATTACAACCTTTCACAAGTCAACTGGTGAATATAGGCCTTCTCGAAGGAATGCCACAAAGCACCGTCCTGAGCCACCTGCATCCATCGAGTTCCTGCATGTGTTACCAGGTCGTCACTCCATCTAGTCGGGGGACGCCCTACACTTCGCCTGTTGGTACGAGGTTGCCACTCGAGAACCTTTTTTTCCTATCGGTTGTCGGTTCTTCGAGCTATATGGCCGGCCCATTGCCACTACATATTACTATACTTATGATACATACTTCATTTTCAATTTATTTTTATGTTTATTGTTATTGTTTCTGATTATTAAACTCAACTTTCTCCAGAAATCATATTAATATTGTGTAAGTAATAACAAACTTCCAAGGCCAATACAGCCTTCGAATGTACTCTATTGAAAGCGGACCTGATGGAAAAGTGTTCGCCAGACCGTGTCGATCGTGAACTTATTCCGAACAATGCTTTTTATAGCACAAATGAGAAACTAATAAATTGAACCTATGATAATTATGCAAAAAGTGGGACGTGAAATCTTTATATATAAAAATTATGTGTCACATTGTTTGTCCGCGATGAACTCCTAAACTATTGAACTGGTTTCAATGAAATTTTGCACACTGTGTTCAGTTTGGTCCGACTTGAGAGATAGGATACTTTTTATCCCGATAAGTGACCTTCAATATTTTTTTATTGCGAATTTAAGGATTTTTTCATAGGAAGGGTCGTCGGAAAGGGCAGAACAACGTCTGCCTGGCCAGCTAGTAATATCATATAATTAAACCTATCATGCATACCAGTGTCGTCATCATGTGGTGGCGGCGTACGCGAGTCTATTACCCATTTTTTCTGCGGGTATTAGGGTGACAAACGAGCACACAGTCCACCTGATGGTAAATGATTGTTGTGGCCCATAGACATCTACATTTATCCTCAATTAAGAATCAGAATGCAAATGCGTTGTCACCCCTAAGGGCTATGAAGGAATGCCTTTTTCCAGTAAAAATGGTCTCCGGTTCTCTACACTCACCATACGAAACACAGCAGCATTGAGCTTCTATTTTACACTGATATTCTGTGAGAGCGTGCTGCTTCCTCGCTGGAGCCGACCCATTTGTGCTACAACTATAATATAGCTGCAATATGACTCTACCACGTAAATACTATAGAAAATGCCAGACAGATCCCATGGCTTCCAATGGTGTAAGCGTCTCGTTTACTAAACTTAAAATACCCAGGCCGGTCACAGGGGTCTGTGTCAAAGGTGCGAGATGTCTGATATTGGGATCAGCAATCAGCCAGCCAAGAGTAGCAATTAAGACAAATCTTACCTACAACGGAATAAGCCCGTATCCTAGCGGTGGACTTCTACGGTCTGATGATGACGATGATGATGTAGGTAATTGATTAAGAAGATTAAGAAAAAGCAGAATACAGACCACAGGAACTTAGCCGCCTTATTCATTTAAATAGTGCTTTTTAACGTAATACATATTTAACATTTTGAACGTGACCAGGCAGCTCGTAAGTAATGTATTTAGTTACACAGAATGACAACATAAATGGTGGCAGTATCGTGATTGTGATCGAGTACAAACTAACAAACACAAACACATAACGCACCTACCTACTCTGTACATAACACACTAACCTGGGTCTTTCATGCTTATAATAATTTAAAATTAAAAATATTGTACAACCGACTTCAATATAAATTAATAAGAATGACTCAAAAACTACTGGACAAACCTTGACCAAATATCATCACATAAAAAAAAAGAAAAACATACAGTCCAATTGAGTACCGGCTCTTGTTTGAAGTCGGTAGAAAATGAGACAAATTGATAAGAGGTACAGACTATAAATTATAATAATTGGAAAATCACGTACTACTTACTTTATCTATCGTTTTAGAAGGGGATTTGTATTTCTAAGTTATATTTTTTCAAATCAACATAAATATGGTTATTAGGAAAACTTTTGAAGTAAAATCTTAATGAACAAAATGAAATCGTTACATAATCGCATTTTGTTTCTTTTAATGGGGACAAACATGATATTATCTCTTACAAAGATCAAAGGACCGTGATGAAGCCATAAGCGTGTATAATTGAACCGTATACCCAAACAGTAACGTTATGGAGAGATATACGGCTCAATCTCTAAACCAACAAGGGCTTGGATTCAACGTGGTTAGTCGCTTGGAAGAATTGTTTAACACTATCCAAATAGCGGTGTTTCGTACACTAAAGGATCCACTAAGCAGATAATTTACAACTGGCTCAAATTTATAAGCCGTCAATCAAGATTCTATTCACAGATTGAAGACGCTTTAAAATATTTCTAAAAGTTTTATTTGGCGATAGTTGAATATTTTTGCGCAGGTAATATTTAATTCTTCGTATCTGGATTTAATATTATTCATTCAAATTTGATTTCACCGTCTTAAAAGTAATTTGTCGGCTTTTCACTTGAATTCGAAATGCTATCTATTCGTACTGCTTACTCCTTACGCTAAGAGGAACTCCACTGAAAAGAGTACCGAGTTCAAATAAATATTTGGGGCACTGGGTCAATGCGTCGCAAACGTACGATGTTGACATCGAAAGGGAATCGGAACAATACGCTGATTTAAAGGCTTGCAAAACGTTCTAGAAGTGTGAAAATTGCTCTTTTTCGTACTGTCAATATTTTCATACTTGTAGCCTATACTGTACTCATCATGCTAGCAGCGCCCTACGATTCCAGTATAACAATGATGCCAGTCATCCCGCCAAACATATGATGACATGAAAATAGTGATATTATGTCATGGAGGCAGTATACAAACATAAATTGCACCAAGATAAGTGGTAAAATTAAAAATTTTGATAACTCAAAAACTACTGGTTAGTCATAGATCAAATTTATATGGGATCCCATGAAAAGCACCAGCTATAAAATAAAAAAATAATCGACAAAATTGGTTCACCTAGAAAACAGTTATGCGGTAATACACAAAAAAAGATGCAGTCGAGTTGAATATCTCCTCCTTTTTTAAGTAGGTTAACAAATATCCCGAGAGTTTGTTGCAAGAGACAACAATTACTTGTAGGCCATACAAATACTTGTTCCGTGCGGGATTTGAACCCGCGGCACTTAGTGCCGAACTCATTGCTAAAGCATATACGCCACGGAGTCCTCAGATAAGGTAAATTGCCAATATACGGCCCACAGCTGAGCACATGCTTCCTCACATTTCTTAGAGAGTTATGAAGCAAATAATTAGCAGCGTCGCGTTCTTGAAATATTTTTATTCTACAGACATGCAGGTTTCCTCACGATGTTTTCCTTCACCGCCAAGGACGTGATAAATCAGTACTTAAAATTGCAATTAACAATTTCATTGGTGCTGGCGGGGTACGAACCCAGGTTGCTCGTGTACTGTGAAATTTAAAGCGTGCGTTAACCATCTAAGCTACCACGGCTCTACATGATACCCTATCGAAACCCTATGAGTCGATATTAATTAATAAATATATCAAAATGCTCTAGTCTATTTCAAAAAAAAAATCAACTATAACATGCACATATATAGTTATTATATATACCATATAGTCATCTCGTAAATTATTATTCTTATCTAATTATAGGTAATTAGCAGCTTTCTTCAATTCTTTATTAGAGAGCTTAAAATATAAAAATCCTACTTATATATAAGGTGGACTTTCATGAGACATTATCTGCCAGTCTACCCAGAGAGACAATTAATTATTTTGACATGCGTAAATTCATGAACATATACGATTATATACAAACCGCCTTGTAGTGACAGCGTAAGATAATTCACTACTCAAACCATTGGAGTCGTAACAGGTGACAGAGGGAAATGAAGCATCAGAATATTTCTGATAAGAACTCAAAATAAAAATAATTTAAAATTTTGTACAATCGACTTCAATATAAATTATTAAGGATAACTCAAAAACTACTAGTCAGACCTCGATCAAATTTACATGGGACCATATGAGAAACACCAGATTTAAAATAAAAAAAGCACCATCGAAATCAGTTCACCCAGAAAAAAGTTATGAGGTACCACACATAAAAAAGAACATACAGTCGAATTGAGTACCTCTTCCTTTTTGAAGTCGGTAGATAACTGCCGTTGCCAAGCGTGGCAGTTATGGTAAATAAAAATATCCTCCAGGTTCGGCCAAGGCAGATAGTCTCAACGGAGACTAGCCATCTATACAGTTCAGAATTATGTGCACAATTGTGTGCACAAACATAGGTACAATCTCTATTTTCTCACTCTTTTAATCCGATGGGACGGCAAACCGACATGACCGTAGAGGGATAAGGTGCAGGACCAACGGGTTTATATGCTTTCCGAGGCACGGGGGTGAAACTGCCAAGTACCTGACTCTTGGCTGCTAATGAGAAATTCTTGACAAAAAAACGCCAATAACTTATTTTGGCCCAACCCGGGACTCAGCAGTCGCTTACGACTATACAGCACCAACGAGATAATCAAATACATTTGACAGACTTCAGATATGCTTGTGATGAATAAATAAATTAATAAAGAAATTAACACAAATACTTACATAAAGGTACATACACTTTTATTCATACGAGTTATTGCTCGTTAAGTATACTCGTACGTTTGTGCAGTATGTAATGAAAACAACGTTGTTTTTTTTTTATATTTATTCTGTGACAATATTAAAGATTTTTTATTAATTGTCATTGAACTAGTGCAGCAGTCGATTGCGGAATAATGTTTCTACATCGCAATAAATTCTATCAAATTGCTAATATAAAATAGTCAACCTGCAATCGGAGGTCAGTCACAGCCGGACTTCCGATAGCAAACAAGCGAAGTTCACTGGTAATCATGAAGGGCCTGTTGGTGCTAGGATTGCTGTGCCTTGCGGCAGCTTGTTTCGCCTATCAAGCCGAATCTGATCTAGCCGTAGCTGAGAGCAAAGGCCACCACCACGAACACGGCGGTGGCCATCATCATCACGAGCACCATCACCATGAGCACGGCGGCAAGGGTGACAAGGGTCACAAAGGGCACCATCACCACCACAAGGGTGACGAGGGTCATTACGGCAAACATCACGACGAGGAACATCACCACGAACATGGAGGCGGCCATAAAAAGCATTGGGACGAACATGACCATCATGGCGAACACCACGAACACGGCCACCACCACAAAGGAGGCAAACATGGACACCATGAACATCACGATAAGGGGGAACACATCGATGGCTACCACAAAAAGTACCATAAGGACCACTTCCATAAGGACCATCACTTCCATGACGGACACCATGACGAAGGCAAGCACCATAAATACGATAAGCACCATGGACACCACGAAAAACATGGTGGTGGTCACAAGAAAGGCGGTCATCATCATTCCGGACATCACGAAGGCCATCATGGAAAACATGATCATCATGACAAACATCACTACGACGAAGGACATCACGAACACAAAGGCCACCATGGACATGATGAGCATCATCACGGTCATCATGGCCATGGTAAGAAAGGAGGCCACGAAGACCACAAGCACTGGGGATTCCATCACGGAAAACATTAAGCATTCATATTGCCTGTTATTGTTACTGATAATGGAGGTTGTTTTTGTTGTTTTTACAATTTTTTATACAAAAATTATATCAAAGTTAATATAGAAACTGTTTTTTTAATCAGCTCCTTAACTGTATCAAAATAACTTCAAAACTAACATACCGTACAAAGTTTTTAGAAAAAAAAAACGATCGTGTCAGCCTGTTTTAGATACATTTCAGTTTTTAAGTGTTAGTGCGTTAAAATTTTATTTAAAATTTTATTCATTTGGTATTGCCAGTCGTTGTCTGTGAGAGCCAATATAAGATGAACGATGAACGAAAGAAAGGAAACAGAAAACATGTTTATATCATTTAAAGCACATACTTAATACAAAAAAGTAACCGCAATATAAATATTAGAAAATACTCTTAAAAAGAAAATCTGGCATGCAGCATTACACTGCGAAATGAACCAGTCTCAATGATAGCACTGGCACAAACCAGTGAGATTTAATTTTAATTTTAACTTTTTAATTTTAACCAGTGAGATTTAATTTCTTCTTTTTCCGCGAATAATTGAATAGAATCTCCAACATTCACTACCCAAGTCAGTCCAAAATGAAATTAGTTTGACAAATAAGTCACAAAAAAATAAGGCGAAGAAACGCAGGGCTAGGGTTACCTATGAATCTGTGGTGATATATAGATAAAAGCTTAGTGCAAATGCCACTACAGGATATTCCTATTCAGCCTCTGGGTTATTTATTCTCAATGCCGTTAGTTTCCAGTAGTATCCAGAAGTTTTCGCCATGGTAAGTTAAGTGTTTTTTCCCTATGCCAAAAGTACCCAACGTGCCTAAAGAAGTTAAAACAACATCGCATTCAATGGCCTTCTTCCTTCTTTTTTAATAGCAGCTTTAGTCAATAATACTCTGCTGGATATATGTAGGTTGGTATGGTTAAAAATGAACACGTTGAGCAATAATGAAACGCTACTTGGTTGGAAACCGATGGTTTAAACATTACTCAATTGACACAGCGCAATTTCTTAAAATAATTATAACTTTTATAAAAAGTAAACACCGACTTCAAGTTGCTAAAAGAAGAAGTTATTTATTTGCTACCTTTAAGGGTGGAATTTTTCCTCCAAATTTATATGAGACCACCCTTGAAGCAAAACCTATTTAATAAAAAAAGAATCACCACAATTGGTTCACAATCTGCGAAGATATCGCGTAACATAGGTGCATACAAAAATAACATACATTCGAATTGAGGACCTCCTCCTTTTTGAAGTCGGTAAATAAATAAATAACGGGCGCTTCATTGAAGGAATGCAATATTTTCAAATGGAACTTTGTCCAATATAGCAATTTATTGAGCAATATTATATTCAAGCTACAGCAACATCAGTATTTGTAAGTACATAGTGTAAGAAAAGAAGTCCACTGCAAATTCGAGGCGAATTCAGAGCGCGAGCGATGGGCAAGTAATTACGCATTTGGCTGATGATGAGCGCAGCTATTTTAAAGAAAACATATAAACAGCACCTCCTAAACAAGGGCCCGTGATTTATGACTCGGTGTGCTACGCGTTAGTACCAAGTTTTATTTTACTAAGTACGTTTTCCTAATTCGGGAGCAACTTTCTTCCGCATTTTAAAATATCGAACTGTCTGCCCGAGGTTGGAGCACCTGATGTAAAATTAAAGTTTGCACTTTACAAGGTTATTCCCTCAAGATTTGAAACCAGGCAGTGTTACAACAACACCATCGAATAAGTCTCTGGATCATATCGAGTGGATCTTTCGTTTTGCTTCAAAAACATTAAATGCAGATATGTCACATTGTCGACTAATTAGGGTGGTCCAGCACTTGATGGAGGGACGACCTGGTATGAGTGCAGGAGATCAATGGATGCAGCCAGCTCATGACCGTGCTCCGTGGCATTCCTTGGGGGCGGCCAAATGGTCCAAGGCTAGATGATGATGATGACACATCGTCTGCGTCTTTAAAACGTAGACATACGTATTTAGTCGTATATATGCATTCTAACATTTGCAATCTTTTCATTAACAATACATAGGTATGTTTTTAAAAAAAATTAAAAAAACAATCTATGGTGGAGGCCTATGTTCAGCAGTGGACTTTAATAGGCTGCAACGGTGACGGTAAATAATAGGTCTTCACTTATGAAAAGTTTTGCAGTATTTGACATTTCCAATCAAAATAATTTTGTTTGGCTAAGAAGAGAAGACTTTAAATTAATTTTATTTTAAAAACATGGAATTTTTCAAAATTAGTTACTTATTTCATCGCATTAGAATCTTTTTCGTCATCACGGATACGTTAAAAATTCGAGTATTTATGAAATATGAGTACCGTCGTGATAGCAACGCGGCACAAGCGGCAGGCAACATCAACGACGTTTACGGAGCGAATACTACAAACGAACGCACCATCAGTTATTGGTTTCGCCGCTTCCGTTCTGAAAATTTCGACCTGAAAAATGAACCCCGTGGTCGTAAGAAAACTTTCACACCGTCATCCGCCGTACTTCACCAGAGCTTGCCTCTACATACTTCTACTTTTCCAGAATTTGGATAACTTTTGACGGGAAAAAAATTCAATACCCGAGAAGCAGCACAAAATGCCTTTCAAAAATTTGTTGTCTGATTTCTTCAAGAACGGCATCAATAAATTGCTACTGCGGTGGTTGGATTTGTTGGTTGGAAGGATGCATCGATTGCATGGGATTACTTTGATTAATAGAAGTAAAAAATATAATAAGAAATTACGTTAACTTATTTCATAAAAAACGTCACTTTCATAGGTAAAGAACTAAATATGTTTATCACATGTTAGTGTTTCCATAAAGTCATTATTAGCTAATTTTATGAGTACATTATTTCAATATCAATGTTTCTCATCAGAGTATCTCCCCTAAATCTATTTTTTGAATAAACGAATATTATATTACTAGCTGTGCCCCGCGGTTTCACCCGCGTATATCACGCGTCTACGCCTTGCAAAATTACATTAAAATAGACTCGTTAACTTTGGTGAAACTGTAAAAATTATTAAAAGAAAAATATGCTTTAAATACTAGTAAACGTATGTTGTGGTGGTAAAACGTAGGTGTATTAAGCGTTTTAATGTGTGGCGTGTATGTGTGTGGTATGTAGTATATAAGTGTGTAGTATATTCAAACAATACGTTCAAATAGATTTTCTGTCTGTTCTTAGTCCAATAATTTAAGACATTTGATTAAGGAAAGCAGAATGGGATTTTAGGGCCTGAAGTTAACTAATTGGTTTAAACTTTAAAAAATTGTCCATATTTTTCTTAACTAAAATACAAAAAGTAGCTCTTTTTACAATCTAATTACGAAAAAACAATAAAATAAGAAATAAGTTAGAAAATCGATTGTAGTGTATTCTTTATGGCAATAAATCGATTACCATAAAGAATACACTAGTGAAATAATCGTTTCTGAGCGTTATCTTCCAATAGAGGACTTCTCATTTTGAAACTTGACTTGACAGTTCAAATTTCAAACTATTTACTTAAAAGAAATAGACAGATTTTCGATTCGATTTGAAACGATCGCAATATAATCGATCTCGATTAAATTGAGCATTTTAATATCTATTTTCGATTATTTTCCTGTGGTAACTAGGGAGATAAAAAAAATGCGTACATATCTACAAAATAGTAATAAAAAATACAAAATATCAAAATTTCCTACAAGTAACAGTTACAACAACAATTCAAGTAATCGATCTCAGATTGATATCCCAGATATTCACTTCACTTAGTTGTTATCTTAACTTTCGTTAATCGTTTTACCATTTCGTTTCATTATTAACCACAACTTGTTTTGGTTATTTTATACTGCTCGTGCTTTTATATCTTTAAGTAATTATAGTAAAAAATAGCCTGTTACAGTGTAGTGACAGTGAAAAATTACCTATTACAGTGTAGGTAATAGAATAGATAATCTCACTTTTACTTAGTCTACAATAACTCAGCTCCTAGATTGACAAATGTTGCCAGATTTTCAGCTATGAATTGTTTATATATACACTATCAAATGGTTTTACTTTCATCTTAACACTTGGGCCCAAGAATGTATGGAGACGTCTCCTTCTCCTTTTTGTCTCTCTCTTAGTTGACGGATATACAGCCGACTCTCGTTAATTCTAAACTCGAGGGACTCTCAAAATATTATATATAGTAGTGTAGTAATAAAATATAAGTAATAATCGTGAATAAAAGATTAATCAGAAGGATCCTCAAAATAAACCAGTCACCACAAAATCACCACATGATCAGTGATCACAGACTGAACTTTATTTGTGTTTAAATAAGACCTTTTTGTAAACTGTGAATCACAAATGAACTGTTTGATTTGATTTATAAATTAAAATATTGAACATTTAGCTTTTATATGATTATATTTATATGTATAGTCACGGTGTGTAGTGCTGTATAAAAAAGGAAATGGAAGCGGGCTTTGAAAAAAGATAGTGAGCTATTTTTCAGAAAATTTTGATTTTTTATCATCAGAAATGCATGGAATAAAGCTCTAAAGGTAAGTTACTAATAAAAGATTACGAAAAGTATACAGCTTTACCATTAATTAGTAACTAGGCAGTAATACATAGGTAGGTATTAACTGACCGAACCACGAAGTTGCACATGATTTACAACGACATAAAATGAAAAAAATTACTAAAACTTACTAATGCAGTGAGTATTAATCAACTCGTACTGTTATTTAGTACCTACCTAGTGACACGTGAAGAAATTTTTTTGGTTACTTAGTTCGTCAGTGGTTGCAAACATATAGTCCTAGTTTTACTTTGACCTCCTTTTGAATAAACTGATTGCGGTATTACGTTGGTAGTTGGTACCTATTCTGTTTTGAAAATGCAATGGTCGCAAACATTCAATGCGTATAAATTGAACAAACAATTCATCTCCAAAATTCATAGAGGAGGAGAGACTTTTATTAAAAAAAAAAGTAA